GTATTTCTTTTCTTGAAGATAACGGCAGGCTCTCCAGGTTGAGTTAACAGGGGAGTCAGGTCCTACAACAGAGACTTTAACAAACACCTGAGCTCTTCCGTGTGCTTGAATGGGCCTTTGCCCCTCTACAGCCTGCATTGCTTTGAAGGTGGTGCTTTGCTCAGAGTGGTTCTTTCTACTTTGTAGAGAAAGGAAAGGAGAGAAAAGGCAGGGGGAGAAAAATCTGGTTTCTTGGATGGTGGGAAGCTGAAGCTGTTTGTCCTGTGCTGGTGGGTACACAGGTTCTCCTGGGGAGTATTACTCCTGCTATCCTTGGCTGTGGCCAGGCACAGCAGGCCCAGCTTTTCTCGCTGCTCTTGTCTGCCCTGGCTGCTATCTGGAAGCCCAGTGCCCAGATTAGTTTTGTGTTGAGGAAAAGTTTTTTATATTAAATCACCAGGCCAGTTGGTAGCATGGTTAAGGTGACTGGATCCTACATGGCAGACTATGTGGTTTAAGTTCTGGACCCAGGAGCTTAGAAAACATGCCAGGGGTGTGTGTGTGTGTGTGTGTGTGTGTGTGTGTACCCCAAATCTCGAGAGAATAGAGGAGCAGGGATTGCAGCATATAGTCCACCCCACCCCGTGAGATGCTTCTTCACTTTCCCACTCTCCCTTGCTGTGTCTCTCTTTGGTGAGTTTATATGCTCTACAGGAATTTTTAAAATGTTTTTTTAATTTGAAGATTCCTGATCTGTCGATTTTCCCGCCTTTACTGAAAATGCCATAAATTTCTTTCTTGGCCTGTTTTTTTGTGTCTTTTTCTTTGCCTGTTACTGGCCCCATGCTGATCCAGGCCTTCTTGTGGAAGCATGCTCTTCCTTGCTAAGTAAGGATTGGATAGCTATACTCGGTGAAGATAGGAGGTAACACTTGTCTCTCTGTGGGCACCACGGTACCATTACCCACACTTGAAGGTGAGGCCAAAGCACAGGTAGTACAAAGCGTGGTCAGCAGCTGGCTGGAGAGAAACAAGGCAGTGATCAGAGCCTGAATTGGCTCTGCTGGTGAGACTGCGACTCACCCAGGATGGATTCGTGGGCCTCAACCTGGAGAGTGGTGGGGTGGGGCCAGACAGAGGCCTGGGGAGAGCCTGGACTAACTGTCCCACATTGTGGACCACAGAGACCAAGGAGGGACACCCTTTATATCTTCTCTGGGCCTCTCTGTCTCCATCTAGTCCACGTCAGGGTCCCAGGATTCACCAGGCACTTTCTACATGTCTCTTTTTTTGGTAAGAATTATTTAATTTTATTTATTACTATTATTATTTTTTTAATTTGCTATAGGGCATATGGGAAAGAGAGAAGGTGAGACAGCAAGTTGCAAAGTCTGGGACTCCAACCACGGTCGACCATGTAGGAGTCCAGCACCTTAATTACCATGCCACCTGCTTGTCCATCCACATATCTCTTCATTCAGTCTTCCTGTGAAATCTCTATTGGGTTTGCATTTCTGTAGTTGAGGCGAGTATGTCATGTCTTGGGAGTTCTTAGGGAAAGGGTTCACACCCAGTGTCTGGTGCCAGAGTTGAGCCCCAGCAGCTCAGGCCTCAGAGCTGGGTGTTTTCCATGACCTGAGCTGCTCCAGGCTGTTGGTGCTCTGCCTCAGCTACACCTGCTTGTTTGGGCTGCCAGCCAAGGCAGGCATGTACCTCCTGGTCCTGTAGGGCTCCCATCTGTGAAAGAAGAAGCCAAACTGGACAAATCTCACCTTTTTTCTAGCCCTACTTGGCAGCTTCCCTGCTGCTTTGATGGGACAGTAATTGCAGCTGCCACTTTGTGGTGGGTATTGCTGTGGGCCTACACCTTTCTGGATATTTAACATATGTTAACACACACATTTATAAAGGAAACTCCCACAACACAGAGAGGTTAAGTCACTTGGGTAAGGTCACGCTGCAGTATGTAATGAAGCCAGAATTTGAGCTTGTATACTCTGCTCTAGAGCCCGGGCCCTCAGTGCCAGGTTCACAGCAGATGCAGAGTGATGAGTGACAGTGGTAGAATGTGGCATGTGCTGATACATGACCTGCCTCTGAATTAAGTGGGAGCTGTGGGCACCCGGGGTGGATTTGTGTGTGCGCTGGGCACAGGTTTGGGGGAGGGGTGTTCTAATGTGCCAGCCAAGATGAACAGGAGATTATGAACTTGAAGGAGAATCAGTCATTCAGGTCAGTTGTTTTCATATTGTATGTATGTGGCATCATGATTGAAGAAAGCCTCTGCGTTGTGCATAAACCCTGAACTCTGAGCCGGGCACACATGGCTGGCTGGGGGTGAACACTGGGTGTGCAGTGGCTGGAGCCCAGAGCTGCAAACCAGCCTGCTGTGGCTGCTCGGGGCTTGGGGCAGGGAAGGCAATAAAATTCAGAGGTTTTTATCTCACTGCTTCCTGCTGTGACCTGTGCAGCTTCACATCTGCTCTTCAGCTCTCTTAGCTCCTGCATTCCACTGGAAAAAGCTGGCTTGATGGACACTGTGCACCTTCTCTCTTAGACAGTCAGTGTTGGGCAGGGTATGCACCAGGATGACAGTGCTGCAGGCGAGATGGAAGAGTGCTGGTGGTCATGTGCATGCATGCCCAAGATCCCGAGAGGAGAATAGAGGAGAAGGGATTGTGGTGTGGCCATCCCCCCTGAGGGGTGATTTCTTGCTTTCTATCTCTCTGTCTCTGTCTTTCTGGCGAGCACATGCATCCTATAGTGGAAAAACCTCTCAAAAAAAAAAAGGGTTCTGGTGGTGATCAGAGAGGCTTAATGAAATGGGAGCATAAGCTGAGGACAGCTGCAGAGGCTCAGGGCTCAGGCCTGTTGGTGCCAGGGTGGAGTGAGCAGCAGAAAGAAGTGGGCCTTGGGCTCTCTTCTTTGGGTTTTGCTATTTTGCTTCAGTCAGCTGGTGCACAGGTCTGTATTGGTTATATGAGCAACCTCGCCTCTTTTCAAGACTTACTCAAGAGCCACAAGTCCACACAGAAAGTCACCTGTTAGAAGAGAAGCCCCCCCCCATACTCAGCACACCCACTAATGTCCTCCATCCCTCAGAATCCCAAAGCAATGTAAACCTCCTCAAGTCATTGGGAGTGGGATTGTGAGACCCACACAGAGATGGTGTGTTAGTCCAGGGATGAAGCTCTTGGCGATCATGTTCATGTCTGAAGCCCCCTTGTCTCTGTGGAGACCGGTGAACCAGCATCACCATTGGATATGGGGCATCCAGCAGTGTGAGATGGACCCCACACTGTCCTGGTCTCACACATAAGCCTTTCCAAAGGGCTCCTTGGGCACGGTTCAGACATCAGGAAGTAGATGGGAATTGGTGTGTAGTTGTGATACACTGTGGCATGTTTTTGTTCTTGTTAGTATTTGGTGCCGAACAGTCAGAAACGAGTCCTGACTTTTCATTGCTATTTTCCATTTTTCCTTCCTCAAGGAATGTTCCATTTGGCTGCTGTACTCCAGTCCACCCTGTGTCCCTTTCCTTTAGAGATGATCACCTCTGCTGTCGGACTTCATGGTCTGAGCACTTGCACAGGATGGCACGAGTGCCATGGACCCCTGCCTCTGTGGGTTTGGTTGTCACGGGACCCCAATACCTCCCTGTGCGCTCCTGGCACTCCTCACGCTCTCTTGGCGATGACTCCGTGGTAGAGAAATCCCTCAAGTCCTTGAAGGACAAGAATAAGAAACTGGAGGAAGGTGGCCCTGTGTACAGCCCTGCAGCAGAGGTGGTGGTGAAGAAGTCTCTTGGGCAGAAGGTACTGGATGAGCTGAAGCATTACTACCACGGCTTCCGCCTGCTCTGGATTGACACCAAGATCGCTGCGCGCATGCTCTGGCGCATCCTCAACGGCCACACTCTTACCCGCCGAGAGCGCAGGCAGGTAATGGGGATGCACCGTTACCTTTGTCACACCTTGTAGATTGTTTTCAACATATTTTTAAGACTTGCTTTCTGCTTCTTTTGGTAAGAAAAAAAAAATCAGTGAAACTTATAAAAAATTGAACCCTTAACACCACCTGAGTTGTAGCACTGACTGCTGATGTGTTGATGTCTCTTCTGTCTTTGTTTTTTAATACGCACGTTTGTTTTCTCTTGGTGCTGTGATGTTACTCCCTGGCTTCTGGCTTTTTTCCTGTTCAGATACATGGCTGTTTGTCTTACAGTCAAACAGGGCAGCCAGGCACTCAGGCCAGAAGCCTGAGATACCTCAACAATTCACTTTCTCCTATAGCTTATAGCCAGCCTTCAAGCTCTTGCCAGTCTGCCGTAAAACACATTTAGCTCTGGGACCAGTAGGTGGCATGGTGGTTAAGGTACTGGAATTCCTGCATGGCTGACTGCAGTTCAAGTCCCGGACCTGGGGGCTTGCTTTCCTATTTTTTTTTTAAGAATTATTTAGTTTATTCTATTTGTTATTATTATTATTTTTTAATTTGACCAGAGAGAGAGAGAAAGCAAGAAAGTAAGCCTTCATCCAGGACTCAAACCATTGTTGACCATGTCGGAATCTGGTGCCTTTAACCACCATGCCACCTGCCGGCCCCATTGGGGGCCTGCTTTCTCTTTCTCTCAATGTCCTCCATCCCTCAGAATCCCAAAGCAATGTAAACCTCCTCAAGTCATTGGGAGTGGGATTGTGAGACCCACACAGAGATGGTGTGTTAGTCCAGGGATGAAGCTCTTGGCGATCATGTTCATGTCTGAAGCCCCCTTGTCTCTGTGGAGACCGGTGAACCAGCATCACCATTGGATATGGGGCATCCAGCAGTGTGAGATGGACCCCACACTGTCCTGGTCTCACACATAAGCCTTTCCAAAGGGCTCCTTGGGCACGGTTCAGACATCAGGAAGTAGATGGGAATTGGTGTGTAGTTGTGATACACTGTGGCATGTTTTTGTTCTTGTTAGTATTTGGTGCCGAACAGTCAGAAACGAGTCCTGACTTTTCATTGCTATTTTCCATTTTTCCTTCCTCAAGGAATGTTCCATTTGGCTGCTGTACTCCAGTCCACCCTGTGTCCCTTTCCTTTAGAGATGATCACCTCTGCTGTCGGACTTCATGGTCTGAGCACTTGCACAGGATGGCACGAGTGCCATGGACCCCTGCCTCTGTGGGTTTGGTTGTCACGGGACCCCAATACCTCCCTGTGCGCTCCTGGCACTCCTCACGCTCTCTTGGCGATGACTCCGTGGTAGAGAAGTCCCTCAAGTCCTTGAAGGACAAGAATAAGAAACTGGAGGAAGGTGGCCCTGTGTACAGCCCTGCAGCAGAGGTGGTGGTGAAGAAGTCTCTTGGGCAGAAGGTACTGGATGAGCTGAAGCATTACTACCACGGCTTCCGCCTGCTCTGGATTGACACCAAGATCGCTGCGCGCATGCTCTGGCGCATCCTCAACGGCCACACTCTTACCCGCCGAGAGCGCAGGCAGGTAATGGGGATGCACCGTTACCTTTGTCACACCTTGTAGATTGTTTTCAACATATTTTTAAGACTTGCTTTCTGCTTCTTTTGGTAAGAAAAAAAAAATCAGTGAAACTTATAAAAAATTGAACCCTTAACACCACCTGAGTTGTAGCACTGACTGCTGATGTGTTGATGTCTCTTCTGTCTTTGTTTTTTAATACGCACGTTTGTTTTCTCTTGGTGCTGTGATGTTACTCCCTGGCTTCTGGCTTTTTTCCTGTTCAGATACATGGCTGTTTGTCTTACAGTCAAACAGGGCAGCCAGGCACTCAGGCCAGAAGCCTGAGATACCTCAACAATTCACTTTCTCCTATAGCTTATAGCCAGCCTTCAAGCTCTTGCCAGTCTGCCGTAAAACACATTTAGCTCTGGGACCAGTAGGTGGCATGGTGGTTAAGGTACTGGAATTCCTGCATGGCTGACTGCAGTTCAAGTCCCGGACCTGGGGGCTTGCTTTCCTATTTTTTTTTTAAGAATTATTTAGTTTATTCTATTTGTTATTATTATTATTTTTTAATTTGACCAGAGAGAGAGAGAAAGCAAGAAAGTAAGCCTTCATCCAGGACTCAAACCATTGTTGACCATGTCGGAATCTGGTGCCTTTAACCACCATGCCACCTGCCGGCCCCATTGGGGGCTTGCTTTCTCTCTCTCTCTGTCTGTCTCTCTGGCAAAACTCATGTAAATCAATCAATAAATAAAATAATTCTTTTTTTTTTCTTGAGAGATTTTTGCTGTAGGGCGTGTGCGCTCACCAGAAAGACAGAGAGAGAGAGACAGAAAGCAAGAAATCACCCCCCCGAAGGGGGATGGCCATGCCACAATCCCTTCTCCATTCTCCTCTCAGGATCTTGGGCATGCATGCACACGAGCCAGGCATGAGTTTAAGCCACCGGGTCCGGGACTCGAACCACTGTCAACTACGTGGGAGTCCAGCAACAGCCATTATGCCAACTGTTGGTCCTAGGAAGAATCCTTTTAAAACAAACATAATTTTGTACTTAACACCCTTGAGAGGCTGCCCTCTTCCTGAGAGAGCCAGAGCCTTCCCATGTTCAACAGCTCATCCCCTGGCTCTTAGCTTCCTCTTAGCTTTCTGTGCCAGCCCTGCTCCTCTTTAACCAATCTCAGGCAGGCCTTGGAACCCTTGTGCTGGGTAATCTCCCTCTGTCACCTCCTTGTCAGGCCTTTCGCATGCAAGTACTAGGCCACCACCGGAAAGGCAGGGGGCTGAGGGCTTTGTGCTGGTACCATGTGACTGCTGACTGGGGCACCTGTGGGTTTATCTGTTCATTCTAGCCCAGCTGGTTACCTGCAGTGGGAATTGAACTTGAATAAATAGAAGATAGTTGGACCAGCCCCATAGCCTAGTGGTTAAGGAAAACTGAATCACACAGGGTCAACAGAGGTTCAAGTCTCAGTCTTGGTGGCTTGAACCATGTGCTGAGTATATGTGAATGCGTGCCCCAAATCCTGACAGGATGAGGAGATGGAAGAGAAATTATTGTGGCTTGACCACACCCTGTTGGGGGGTGCTTTCTCACTCCCCCTCTTCCTCTCTTTTTCTCTTTGGTGAACACATACATCGTCTGGCAATTTTAAAAAAGATAATTTATGTCCTTAACAGACAGGCACTTATAACCAGTAACTGAGCCAGCAGGTGTGGAGGTTAAGGAGACTGGATCCCACATGGCCGACTACATGGTTTGATTCCCAACCTGGTGGCTTGAAAAACACCCCAGCCAACCCCGGGCAAGTGTGCATACATTCTCAAAATCCTGAGAGGAGAATAGAAGGGATTACAGCATGGCCATTCACCTGGGGGCTGATTTCTCACTTCTCTCTGTCTCTTTCTGTGTGTCTCTCGCCAGCACACAAACCCTATAGCAAAACCATGAAGGTCAGTATGGAATAGAGGCATTGGGAAAGTCATTCTGTGCTCTGATGTGGGTCCTGTAGCCCTGTTAGTAGTCAGTGGAAGAAGAGGTATTTTTGGGACCCCAGGATATGTGAGACCATGATGAAGTACGAAGTACTTGAAAACAACAATGCCAAGACAGTAACAGATAGGGTCAACGCTGATTCCCTGAAAACCTCTTCAGATGGTAGGTAGGGAATGGGGTGAGAGGACGTACTGCTCTGTAACTGTCAGAGTCGAAACGGGCTTGATGCTACCCATGCTGGGGAGAAGGGCTGTTGAGAAGAGGGACATTTGCATGGTCTGAGATGTCTCCCAGAAGTTGCTCACTTGTAAGTGGAGACATGAAAACTCTGCAGAATACCTGGACTAGGTGATCTCAGCACCACCAAGGGGAAGGTGGGTGCCATGGCACCCAAGAAGGAGATGGCATATGACGTTTTCCAGTGAGAAATATATCACCTGTGTCTAATCACGGAGAGACATCAGACAGGCCGCAAATGAGGCCTGTCACCTAGAAATGATGTCACTCTTTTAAGGTGTCAAATTAATTATTTGTAATGGAAATGCAGATGCTAATGTGAATAAGAGAATGTTCTGGTTCCTGTGGGCTTAGAAAGTTTTATAAGTAAGTAGTACTATAAAAGGAGCAGCCCTAGGCCCAGCCACAGTGGCACAGTTGTAGCCAGTTCTCCGCCATGCTGGAAGCCATGTGGAAGATCTGGGTTCTGCTCTCAGATTGACCTGTACATGGCAGGCCTGCGTGTGCATTCATGATTCAGGCTGGCTGGGAGAGGGGGCCGGATTGCAGTATGACTCTACTGAGGTGCTTGTCTGTATCTCTCTCTTATTCTCATGAAAGAAAGAAAAAAACTGAAAAAAAAAGGAGCAGTACTATAAGGAAATTGTTGTGAGAAGCAATACTATAAAAAGTGGTACCGTAAGGAGTGTTATTATTTTATATTAATTTGCCATATAGTGCATTCAGTTGCCAGAGAGAGGGACAAAGTGAAAGGGAAAGTGAAAACATACTCCTCATTGGGCATAATCATGCCAAAATCCCTTCTCCTTCATTTTCCCTGCTTTTGGGATTTAGGGCACACATGCACAGTGGCCCAGCATGTTTCTCAGGCTGCTGGGTCTGGGACTTGAACTGTGCAGGCCGTATGTGGGATCTGGTTGGCTTAGCCACCAGGCCGGAGTAGTATTATAGAAGCAGTGCTATGAGGAACACTGGTACTGCTGTATGAAAGGAATAGTACTCTGAGGAGTAGTCCTATGGGAACAGCACCATAAGGAGCGGCACTAAAGACGCAGTGCCGTGGGGGCGGCAGTACAGTAAAAGGAGCAGCGCTGTGAGCAGCTGTACTTTCAGTGGAGCAGTGCAGTGGAAGGAGCAGTACTGCACGAAGGATACTACTGTAAGCACTACTGAAGAGGAAGTTGAGCTTTCTGGGAACCTAGCTGGTGATTGTTCATCTTTTGCAAGAATTTTCAATATTTCAAATTTGTGATTTTTAAAGTTTTTACTATTATTATTTTTAGTTTTGCTCTAGGACATGTTGCACTTGCCAGAGACAGAGAGCGAGAGAGAGGGAAAAAGCGAGACCCTCCCCGCATCGCCCACAATGGAGGATGGCCATACTGCAGTCCCTTCTTCTCCAATCTCCTCTGCATTTGGGGCATGCATGCACACGCCCGGAGTGATTTTCAGACTACCAGGTCCAGGACTCCAACTGCACAGTTGGCCATGTGGGATCCAGCATCTTAACCTCTTCACCACCTTCTGGTCCCTAAATTGTGTCCTTCTTTAGTGGCATCAAGCACAGTTTGTTTATAGCAGTTAAACTTGGTGTTTTACCCTAGTATTGCTTTATAGTGTGTAGTTTTAGCTCTAACCAGCTAAGGACACACAGCGGACGGGCACAGCACGCTATCTTTTCCTCAGTCTTTGGGGGGGGAGGGTATTGTGCCTCAGCCTCCCTGGTGCCCCTCACCACTCCCATAGCTACTCGTCCTCACCCCTTTGCTATTGCCATTGGTGTCTAGCCATGGGCACTGGCAAATAGTGCTGAAAACAGCCAGCAGCCATGGTGTTAGCACTCCACTGTACATTTCAGAAGGCCATCAGCACGTGCTTTGAGGGAAAATGGGTTTCAGGATTGGCTGCTAAGTGATTTTGGAACTTGGGCTATTTGGTATTCCTGTGAGCCACTGCCTATGTAAGCAGTAGTGAGAGAAAAGCTTGAACGCTTCCTGCTCCAGCCCTCTCAGCACCCTAACGGACTGCCACTTCTTCACAGTTTCTCCGGATCTGCGCCGACCTCTTTCGCCTGGTCCCCTTCCTTGTCTTTGTGGTGGTTCCTTTCATGGAGTTCCTGCTGCCTGTGGCCGTGAAGCTCTTCCCCAACATGTTGCCATCCACATTTGAGACCCAGTCCATTAAGGTGAGGGTGGTGTGGCAGGGTGTCCTTCCCGAAGGAGCCCAAAGTTAGTTACACTAGGTGTTAGTGACTGGTGTTTTAGGTGTTAGGGTTTTTAAAAATTATTTAATTATTATTAGTATTATTATTTTAATTTAACTAGAAAGAGACAGAGAGAGAGAGGAAGGGAAAGTTAGGAAGCAAGCTGCCAGGTCCAGGACTTGAACTATGGTCAGCCATGTGGGAGTTCAGCACTCATGTCACCTGCTGGCCCAGTGTTAGGTATTTTTGAAGATTTACAGTGACTGCATAATTCAGTCTCTCAACTGTGCTCTAATTATGAATTGGATTTTTTTCTCTTTAAATGTGTTTTAAAACATGTTTTCTTAGACCAGAATCTTTCATGCCACAGTTGAGACATATTCATGGACTCTGAGATTCATCTGGCACAGGGTTGGCCAACTGGAGCCCATAAGCCACATCTAGCCCAACAGCCCTGTCTGTTGTGGTTGCTAAAGTTTCACAGTGACCTTCCCTGCGTGTATCGTGTCTTGGGCCTTTTTTTGTGAGCCACTAGCAGTGTTAGGCAGTTGTTTCAAACCACACAGTCCACGAAACCCAGCTTTACCTATAGGCCCTTTTTGGAAAAAGTATGCTGACACCACCTCTAGGGGATCACACAGATTTTCTTTTACAGAGGTTTTTGCTATGGGGTACATGTGCTCGCCAGACAGACAGAGAGAGACAGAAAGTGAGAAATCACCCCCCCAGGGGGGATGGGCACGCACGCACACGCGCCCAGCGTGAGTTTAAGCCACCGGGTCCGGGACTCGAACCATGGCCGATTACATGAGAGTCCAGCGACATAGCCATTATGCTAACTGCTGGTCCCCAGATGTTCTTTAAAACCATAAAATAGAAGAGTTTCCAGATGTTTTGCATTCAGTGAAATCAGTGTCTTTCTGTAAAATGTGTTTTTTCCAGTGTGTGAGACAGAGGGTAGGGCATGTGTTGGATTCAGGTCTGGGATGCTTTTTTTTGCTGGGGTCAGTCATGAAGCCTGAGCCTGTGATGCTGAGCTGCACCCTCTAGTGAAGTAGTGGGGACAGGGTGGGTGAAAGGAGAGAGCGAGAGGCCTGGGGAGTACGGCGCCTCTCTCTTTGCCTTGACAGGAGGAAAGACTGAAAAAAGAGCTACGGGTGAAGCTGGAGCTGGCCAAGTTCCTCCAGGACACCATCGAGGAGATGGCCTTAAAGAACAAGGCAGCCAAGGGCAGCGCCACCAAAGACTTCTCCTTGTTTTTCCAAAAGGTACAGTGTTTCTTCTGAGCCCCTGAGGCCTTAGCCTGTTGGTCCAAGTTTGGTTAGACCCGTGGAGCACCATTGTGTCTTGTCACCCTTTGCTTTTCTTTCTTTCTTCTTTTTGCTGTGCTCAGCAGAAAGCAGCGTTCCCCGGGAGACTTAGCTGGTCCTGTAGGGAGTTTAACTCAGAACTTGGCCGGGTGGTGGTGGACTCTGTTACGTGCCTGGCTGCACACGCTCTCAGTGTGATGGAACCTGCTGCTGCTGAGACCTGCAGCTTGTTGACATTCATGATTAGTGTTGGTATATCATGACCCTGTCACAGTTCAAGGGAGACAGAATTTGATAAGGGACCTCAGATCTCAAAGTTGCGATGTGTTAGATGGTCAGTCTGGGCTCCTCTGCTGGAATCTACCACCTGGATGGGGTCACTCAGGAAGGTCCCAAGAGGACTGGTCAGAAGGTTGACTTTGGTGGCAGCAGGGACCAGGGAGGAGGGGACAAACCTTGAGGCATTTCCGTGGCCGTATGTCCAGGAGAATGGGGGACTGGGAAGAGGGCACTGCTATTGATGGGGCTCTCTGAGGATAAGAGGATGAAGAACCCAGGGTTGTTGTGCTTGGAGAACTTGTGCTATTTTCTGGAGTCAGAAGAATAAATCTGAAGTTCCAGGACCACTTAAACCAGAGGTTAGCAGACTTCTGTCCACTTATGTACATGCTGTCTGTGGTACTTTTGTGCTACGTTGCAAGAGTGGTTTCTATGGTCACAAAGCAAAAAATATTTGCTATCTGTCCTTTACTAGGAAAGTTTTCTGAATCTCTCTTTAAGAATAGAGAGACAGGAGGAGG